ATTTTTATGAGCCAGGTTATAACAAAAACGTAAACAATACGCTACGACGCGCAATAATCTATTTAAAGACGAGTATCGGTTTATCAGTGACGGATATTGCGGTCTTGCGTCGAACGTAGCTAAGGTCACTGACCGAGCTTCAGGTATTTCTAAATTTAGAATATTTTCGTTTTTATTCGATTTAGGCCAGTTTTTTTCATCGTTTACCAACCAATCAGGACCATACCACCACAACGGTGTATTGGTTAATTTGGACGGACAGCAACCTCGAGAAATAATGTCAGCTGGATTGTCTTTCGTGTCAACATGATTCCAATCAGCTACCGACGTTTTTTCTTGTATCTCTCCCACGCGATGGGCAACGAATGTACGCCATTTTGTTGACTGAGAAGCTATCCATGCTAACACTATATTCGAGTCAGACCAAAAATATTTTTTGCTGACGTCTAGTTGTATTTTTGGAATAACTCTACTTGCTAGTATCGCCAGTAGTACCGCGGCGTATAGCTCTAATCGCGGTAGCGATACGACCTTGAGTGGTGCGGCCTTTGATTTTGCGCATATCAGCTTGGACGTGTGTACGCCATCTGAATTTGTGCTACGTAAAAATAAGCAACACCCATAAGCTTCAATGCTTGCATCAGCGAAACCATGAATTTGAATATTAATTATGTTACCGTCACCCTTAATTTTTCGTGGTACAACTAATTCATTTAATGACATTAACGAAGTTCTATACTCTTTCCATTCGTCCTGAATACTATTTGGAAGTGGTTCGTCCCATTGCACTTTCAACAGCCATAGCAGTTGCAAAATTAATTTAGCACGAACAATAGCTGGTCCGATCAATCCAAGTGGGTCGAACAAACACGCTATCTTAGACAGAATTTCGCGTATCGTAATTTGTTTACTGTCTTTGAGGTGTTCTTCGTGTACTTTGAATTGTAACGTGTCCGCATTGGAGTTCCAATATAATCCAAGTATTTTTACTATCGAATTATTAATAGCTTCGTGTGTGGCGATATTTTTACCATCATTAACATCTGTCGACAAGTCAGAAATTAACTTAATTTTATTTGACGTCCATTTTCGTAATTCCAACCCCGCCGATCCCAAAACTTCAATGAGTCCGTCACGTAGTTGTATCGCTGCTTCTAAAGTGTCAGCACCACCTAAGAGGTCGTCCATATAAAAATCGTGTGTTATCGCGGCGTAAACTTCAGGTTGCGTGTTACGTACCGTTTCCGCTAGTTTATTCAGGCAACCGGTAGCTAAAAACGATGCGAGCACTGTACCGTAAGTAATAGTGTTTAATTGGAATATTTTAATCGGTTCGCTTGGGTCCTCCCGCCATAGTATTCGCTGAAAACTTCGATGTTTGCCGGCTACCCAAAACTGTCGGTACATTTTTACTATATCGGCTGAGAACACGTAGTTATGCGTGCGAAATCTTGTAAGAATGAATAGTAACTCATCTTGGAGAACTGGTCCTTTTAATAACATGTCATTTAAACTCACGCCATTGTCGGACTTACATGACGCGTCGAAGACTACTCGCAACCGCGTCGACGTGCTAGACTCTTTCATAACCGCGTGATGTGGCAAGTAACATGTATTGACGTTATTGGTGTAATCATCGTCGAATACTTGTTCCATGTGTCCTAATTCCTTGTACTCATTCATAAATTTAATATATTCATTTTTTAGCTCTGTATTATTTTCGAGTCGCCGCTCGAGAGATAAAAAACGTCGTTTGGCGATATCGTATGAATTTCCTACCTTTAATATGTTATTACGAAATGGCAGGTGCACAATGAAACGTCCGTCTTTACCACGCGACACAGTATTGTCAAAATATTTTTTGCATATTTTTTCTTCTGCTGTTAATGGGGCATCAATTATAATTTCTTCCATACGCCAGAAACAAGGTAATGTATTTTCCAAAATTGATTCCGTGTGTGTCGATGTAGTATGATGAACGGTACTATTTGTCATTTCAGTTTCACGTTCTAAGCTCGACACCGGCCCCGATACAACCCAACCCAACTTGGTTTCTTGAAACACCGGGCCGTTACGATTTAGTTTTATTTGTCGCTCGCATAATAAATCATAAAAGTGCGTGGCACCAATTAAAATATCTATTTTTTGCGGAACGCGGAATAACGGATCGGCTAGCTTGATATTTTCCGGCATACCACATAGATCGGTAATATTTTTTGCCGGTAAGTCGCCTGTAATTTTTGGAACCACTAGCATTTTTAACGAAAAATTGTAATTATTGAAACGGGACTCGAAACGCGCGTGTACGTATGAGTGCGCGTGTTGCGTAACAGCACCTATACCGTTTATTTGATGATTCGATTTAATTTTTTTTAATTTCAAGGCTTGAACAATTTCTTCAGTTATAAAATTACTTTGTGATCCCGAATCCAATAGGGATCCACACAGTGACGGATCCAGGGGGGGGGGGCAAAGGGGGCATTTGCCCCCCCCCCCAAACGCCCTGTAGTTGCCCTATCTTTTATATCGTAGATATTAATACTTCTAGACTCTAGTAGAGTTAGGTACAGTATTCAATAATCATATAATCATATCATATCATATCATATCAATTTCCATACGAGAGTTTTATTGTAAACATGGAAAAATTACAATCCTGATAATTTCTCACCAGTCTAATAATAGCACATAAGTTATTAGGTTTCCTTATCATAGTTCTGGTGATTATTGACAGTCGACACAGACGTAAAATCAATTACGTAATAACATAGACAACGTCCTAATGGCTAATGTGTTATTACTTATCGTACGTTTTCGACAGTCAAGTTCGACGTGTCGACGTTTCTTGTGCGCTAATTAAAATAATTAAAAAAATAATAAAATTCAGAATGGACAAAAAATCAGTATCATTCAAAGAAAAATTAAAGAAATTTAGGTTTTCTAAACAAGTACAATCTCTTGAATCTGATCAGCAGGTAAGCCGATAGTTTTTATAGTACCTACCTATAATATGTAGGTAGACAGGTAGTAGGTACCTATAATAGGCTATATTGCTATAATATTATATTAATATTATAATATTATTGTATTACACTATTACAAATTTATTTTAATACTTATAATAATAATGAATATTGAATAATATAAGTAATATTGTAATAATGTAATATAGATACCTACTATAATTAATATTAACTATTTAGTTATTTCATTACATAGGTAATAGTATTTAAGTATTTTACAATTGTATTTTGTTGTTTAGAATGAAAATGTAAACAAAAGAGAGTTGAGTTTTGATTCATCCTCTAAGTCTAGTTCATATACCAAAAAAAATAAATGACGTGTTTCCTATAAGTACAAGTAGTACATTAACCGACCCAGGAACTCATTCAGTAAGTTATTCCAAGTTATTCAGTTGGTTCAATAATTATATAATACTTATGTCTTATAGGTACCTAATTAGTAATTAAAATATTTAACATTTTATAATAATATTATAATTACATTTTGTACCTATGTAATTGGATATAATACACAAATTATTATAGTTGCCAATTGGTTGATACATGTTTTTTTATTTATGTAGGAGAATCTGAAGAATGATGAAAGTTATAGTATAATAATTGATGACAGCTTAGATATTATAAAATTTATTAATACTTCAATTCCTATTGATGACTTCACAAAATGTGCATTGCTTGAAAAACACTGGGTTCCTCCACCAGGATACATATATCCATTCTCTATACACATACGCCAAGGAAAAGAAATAAAAAGAAACGTTCTACCTGTCCACTTACAAAATAATCATTGGTTAGTACTATCAGATTGCATGAAAGGGTTGTTTTGTAAATACTGTGTTTTGTTTGCTTCCAATACATCTAACAATGTAACACTTCAAACTTTGGTAAAAAAACCACTTAAAATCTTTTCAAAATTAACTGGCAAGGATAGTGATTTGAAAAGACACTGCAATAATAAATATCATAAATTTGCTGTTGAGTCTGGGAATAATTTTTTGGCTGCATATCATAATCCACAAAAAGTAATTATAAATCAAATAAATACTCAACGATCCATTCAGGTTAGTGAAAATAGAAAACGGTTAGTTCCAATTATTGAAACTATTATATTTTGTGGTCGACAAAATTTAGCGTTAAGAGGGCACAGAGATGATGGATTTCTGGACGATGATGCTCGTCCATCAAATGAAGGAAATTTTAGAGAACTTCTAATGTTTAGAATAAGAGCAGGTGACAAAACACTAGAAAAGCATATAAAAACAACTTCATCTCGTTCAACATTTATAAGCAAAACTACTCAAAACGACTTAATCGACTGCATTGGCGAAGAAATACAATCTAAAATAATTCATAATGTAAGGAAGGCTGGTATGTTTGCTATAATATTTGATGAGACTACAGACATCAGCCATATTGAACAGCTAAGCTTAATATTGAGATATGTTCTGGATGATAAGGTGCATGAAGATTTTATAACATTTGTTGATGCCTATAAATCAATTAGACCATAAGATGTATCAAATCCTTATGAAGTTAAGCTAAGTGGTAAAGCACTTGGGCATGTTGTGTTGGATATAATAACTAAACTAGGGCTTGATTTAGATAAGTGTGTTGGTATCGGAACAGATGGTGCAGCAGTAATGGTGTCAGTCTTGTGGTGCAGTATCGGAGATACAAAAAAAATGTTGTAATGCTGTTAGATGTCCTTGTTTCAACCATGCTTTAAACAATTCATTGGCTCAGGCTTCAACTATACCATCTATAAGAAACGCAATTGGTACTTTAAAAGCTATTATTGCTTTTTTCAACACATCTTCTAAAAAACATAAATTACTAATTGATACAATTGGTCATAAACTTATTGGACTTTGTCAGACAAGATGGGTTGAACTTCATGATGGTGTAATACAATTTAAAAAAATACTTCCACAGCTGGTTATTGTACTTGCTGAAATTACTCTTTGGAAGGAATCAAGTATGACTACATCTAAAGCTAAAAGTTTTGTTCTATCAATATGTGATACAGATTTTATTTTTGCATTGACTTGTTTGAGTTATGTGTTAGAGCGTACCTTGCCATTAAGTAAAATTTTACAGTCATCAACTATTGATTTAAAAAATGCTTCTGAAATAGTTCAGTGCACTATAATTGTACTACAGAGTAATAGAACTAATTGTATTTCTGAGTTTGCTAAATTGTATTCAGAAGTACAACAATTGGCATCTGGATTAGATATTGATTTAAAAATACCAAGAATCAATAAAAAACAAACACACAGAGAAAATTATAATTCTCAGAGCATTGATGAATATTATTGTATAAGCATGTTTATTCCATTGTTGGATTCAATAATTGAAGATCTTAAAAGACGCTTTACATTACCAAGTATGGAAGCTTATGATTTAAGTTTATTTATACCAACAACTTTTTTGCAACAAAAAATGTACTGTACCTCAGAATATCAAGATAGAGTATCTAATGTATCAAAGAGATTTTCTTCGATTGAACCAAATATACTACATGGCAAAACTATTTTAGGTAGGTACCTAAATATAAATTGTATATCCTAGTTTTCCATTGATATAAATTTTTTAAAAGTATATTAAATATAATTTTTATTTTAGGTGAATTAGAAATCTGGTGCCAAAAATGGAAAATAATTGCTGAAGAAGGAATTGAAAAATGTCCTGATAATGCAATAGAAGCCTTTTCTTCTTGTAATGCTAAAGTTTTTCCAAACATCAAATCGTTTTTACAAATATTATCTACAATGCCTGTTGGAGTAGCATCGGCTGAAAGAAGCTTTTCCACTCTTCGCAGGATGAAAACTTGGTTGCGGTCTGGGATGGGTGAAACGCGGCTAACAGGTCTTTGTTTATTACACGTGCATAGGGAAGTAAATGTAAACGAATTAATACAATCTGTCATAGAACGCTTTGCCAATAAAAAACAGCGACGTTTAGACTTTGTTTTGTAAACTGCAGTAAACTATAAAATATAAATTTGTGAGATATTGTGTAAATGTTGTAAATTATTTTGAACTTTTGCCCCCCCCCCCAAAATTAAGCCCTGGATCCGCCACTGGATCCACATAAGACTGATATTGTGCACTTCCCTATTGCTCGCACGACGGCCGTTGATAATAGTACGTTCTCGTTATCGACGCTGAACGCATGAGCACTTGTCGATGTATTTGCTGCTTGTTTATTTGAAGCCTCATCCGAATTCTTTGCATTGTATTTTTGTGGCATAATTAAATGCAGTAACGTATTATGTGCTTTATGACATTTATAACAATTATTTTGCGAAAGACAGCGTTTAACTTCGTGTTTGCGCAAACATACCTTGCAGAGTCCTAGTACATTAACCCTTTTTATACGCTCGGCTACTGTTAACGATAAAAATGAAGGGCATTTGTAGATTGTATGTGACAAGTCACATGCATAACATTTTATCTCCGATGTAGATACTAACGATGTAGTAATGTTATTGTTTTTGCCAAACTTATTTTTTCGATTTTCATTTTTGTTTTCATAGCCCAAATCAACGATTTTAGAAATGTTCTTTGACGACTCAATTGCTTCCAAAACTTGTGAACGCGCATCTAAAAATAATACTAAATCTTCCACTTTAGAAATTTCATTTTTTGGCGACTTCATCTCCCATTCACTTAAAGTGATCGCGTCCAACTTAGTGCAAATAATATGCGTCAACAGTGGGCCCCAGTTACTTGGCTGTTGTTTCAACGCCTCTAACGCGGACATATGACCCCGTAATGCGTCAGAAAATTGTCTTAAACTACTTGACGAATTTTCTTTTACGTCACTTAACTCACATATGCCTTTAACGTGTGACTGAATTAATAATTTTTCGTTTCTATATCTCGATATTAACGTTTTCCAAGCGTACTCGTAGTTGTTTGCCGTTGCTTCAAGATTTTTAATGCAACTCGCAGGTTCGTCACTTAAAGATGCACGTAAATGAAAAAATTTTTGTATCGGCGTTATTTTATCATTTGTATGAACAATCGCCATGAACATATCGTAAAACGGTGTCCAGTCCGCGTACTTTCGTTAAAAACTGGTATGTTTAGCGGGGCCAGTTTAATTGTCGATGACGCGGGACCGCTGCTACCTACACGCGATGACGTTCGCGGGGACGCCTCCCCTTGTTCATTCGTGTTTATTTCCGGTCTATTGGTGTTCGTCATTTGCTCAGCTTGTGCGATTATTTCAAAATACAAATTTTCGAAGTCTTCTCTGTATTCTGAATGATTTGTGTGATTTGCATGATCTAAAACCTCAATCTCCGACTGTACACTTTCAAAATTATACCATGCCTCTTCCACTTTTTTACGCCGTGGTACAACTTGAGTTATGTTACATTCGGCCGATCTAATGTAAGTTTGAAATCGCGTCAAGACGGCCTTGATTTGGCCGCGTCGTGCCGTCAATACAGTAATATCCCCCATATTATGATACCGTCGTACAAAATATATAAAATTAGGTATAGTGATATTGAGTATGTTAACGACCGCGACGGTGATGTGTTTTGTGCCGTTTGTCTCGACGGACCTAATCAGCAAATACCAGATAAGCTCAGATAAGCGCGCGTGGATTTCGATTAATATGCTATATATTGTACTGTGACCTACGCTAGCTTGCCTAATTTTCAGGAATTTCGCTCTTTATTTTTAGGGAAAGAAATATTAAATAACTGGAGGAAATAGGCTAAACTCTTACCCGACTTTTTTGGCTCCAGCTCTGCAAATTGGACTTCTTCTCGAGATACAATCTATGGTGTACTGGTTGGCTGACCTTTTGAAAATAATCTTTTTTATTTTTAAAGCCTCGTACTTGAGTTGAGACACGAACTAACGGTTTTTATTAATTAACGATTAACGATTTACTAGTCAACGGATAACGATTACGAATACGAACGATAGATTAACGATGATCATGAAACGCACGATTACACTGAGCGTAATATTAATTTATTTAACTAAATTTATTTAGCTGTTAAAGGCACGCACTACGCCACTACGTTTTACTTACTTTTAAACCACGTGGACGAACGATAATTTTATGAATCCGGTTCGAAGGACCAAATGTTGGGACGTGGTAAGCAAGTATAAACATTTGATTATAGCAAGAACGGTAATTTATTTATTGTGGACTGTATATTAAAACTTTATTTAATACTAGCCTAAGCGAAGACGCGATGCGCACCAGTAGTGTGCTTTCCGTGGCATGGTTCGAAACTAGACTAATCGATATATTAAAGCGTATCGTTAACGATCGATCGCCGCGACATCTTATCTGTTCATACCGATACCAACACTATCGCACCTCGGAAACCACACACTGACACGCAACAGCTACCGCTGACTTACAGTTCTTATCAGGAGGAGATTTCCACTCAAAACATCAAATTTGGGGCTCCAGATAAACCAACACCAGGAGTCGCTCTCTGCCTCACTCACTTATCAGCGACAATCTTAAGCATTTATCCCCTTCTGGGCAAACCTACTGGCTTACTCATTCAAACAGAACAACAGATTTCCTTGACTTTTTCATACATACCCTACCTAAACAAAAACACTTTCAATCACTCAAATCCTCTAATTTCAAACCTATCTTCTCTTACTCTTCCTGATAACCCACCTCGTCGTCTCAAACGAGATTGGCCCAGGGTCCTTATTAACATTTTATAAAAAAAACCTGCTTAGAATTTTGAAGTTAAATGACAAAATAGAAATATATATTTACAAACAAAGGTACGTTAACAATTGACCATGACCATGGGGAAGATAGAGGGGAGCGTGTGTGCGTTCACCGCACAGGTAGGTATTGTCGACGACCGGCGGACTTGGACCCACGGGACAAAAGTTTCTATCGCACGCACACGGAAACAATATTTTTAAAATAACTGCAGCCTAATGTATAAAAATTAATAAGTAACACTGGTCACTAACCTCTAGTTGTCACAAATAAACTAATAGGCTGACAAACTGTCAATACTCAAAATCATTTTCGAATAAATACAATGATTTTATATTGTTGAATTCAAATTTAACATGTCATCCAATGCAGTGACCGCTTGCCAACCATTTTTATTTATTAATTTTTATAAACTATCTCTTAAACATTAGTTTAAAACAAATTATGAAAAATTAAAATTGTATCAGCAAATTTAATATTATACTATGATGTAAATTTAATTCATACCCTATTTGAAATGATCGACTATCATTTTTATGGTCTATTTCTTCATTAATTTCTTCTTTGACAATTCCATTCAATACTTGATTATCAATATTTTCCTGTTTAATAACAGGAATATCATCACATCTTAGTAACGGGATTGACAACATACTAGACCTATGTATTATATCATGATACCTAAAAAATTGATATTTTATCAGTATGTACCACCTAATAGGTTACATAAGTATAAATTAGATACATTGCACAAATTTAATAATAAATACATAAATTGACAAAACAGCTAGTTTTAATATGTAGGTTATAAATTAATTTATTAATGACACACTAATTACAATGGTTTTGCTCACTTGGAATTAATCCTGCAATCATCAGTAGTTATTCTTAATGGTTCCATATTATGTCCTCTCTATTGTTTGTTTTCAATTAAATACTGTGAACATGAACCATAACAACATTAGGTACCTTCTATATCAAACCTTTCAGTTGGTACGACCAACTTGTAAGAAGTGTTTGTAGTGTGTCCATTTGTACATATTCTTTTTCTAAAACTTTTCATTTGGACTGCCATAAATAAAAGGAAAACACTGATGTCTATTTAAAATTGAAAACCAAGTCAGTATTTAGTGTTTTTTGTATTTTTTAAATACATTATAATACTATAAATAGTAAAGTATTTTAGTAATACTCAAATACTTTTCAGAATCATTTAAAATATTCTTCAAATACAAAAAAAAATTGTTTTACTTTTTAGTTCTGAAATAATTTGTTATTTTATTTTCTTCTATATCTATATATATAAAAATGAATGTATGTGTGTGTGTGTCTCCATTTTACCATGGCAACCATATATATATTATTTTGAGATTTCCGTCGGTGTGTCGTGTGTGTCCATATTTCGATGGTAACCAGTTATATATTATTTTGTAATTTTCGATGGAATGTTTTGTATATAAATGGTTGCCATGGTGATATGTAAAACATATTATTCATATAGAGTTGGCAATTTTAATGGACAATGAAGTACACGGGATCAGATATTTTTATATATATAGATAGATTAGACAACTGAGTAGAAGATATGCTAATTTAAAAAGGGAGAGGACCAACCCCGGGAGGTGCTCAAACAAAGATTTTGAGTTTTAATTTTTGTTTATAAATGGTTGCAATGAGTTTCAAAGCTATAATAATAATAATTATTGGTTGCCATTGGTTTAAAATTGTTGTAATGGTAACAGTTATATTTTATAAAAAACATATTATTCATATAGAGTTGGTATTTTAAATGGGCAACGAAGTGCACGGAATCAGCTAGTATTTTATAAATATATGCCAAACAAATTTTTACATAGGTATAAACAAAAATAACAATATATACATAATTGGTTATAACAGCAAGGTATGCAAAGGTTAGGTAATAATTAAAATTGACGGACTAAAAAACATGTTTGATTAAGGCCAAAGATCAATATTATTTTCGAAAAGTTAGACATTAAACGAGGGGGGAGGAATTGCTCATGTGATCTGGTCTGAACACTTGGTACATGTAAACTAATGAGCTCCAGGAGTCTGGATGCATCCAACCTACCATGAAGCAAGTTGAACAACAATAGTTGGTCAGTTCTTTTTCGTTTATTTTCAAGAAAACAGAGTTTTAATTTAATTCTGAGGTGCTGAGTTGAATTCAGTGGAATGACTTCGAATAAATCCTAAAACCTTTAAAGCCTTACAGGAAATATAATATATATATATAAGATCTAAAGGATAAAGTCGGTGTGTATATAGATCCAAGATCTTTGGTCTCTTGAACCCACTTTAGAGGTTTCCCGTTTATAGAATAATAAATTGTAATCGATAAATGTTCTAGATCTATAGAAGGACATGACTTTACATTTGTCTTCGTTTTACACCAGATTATAAAACTATCTAATGATGCCAGAAGGACATAGCAATCATTTGTTGAAATATCCTAGGAAAGAGCTTAGCATCATCAGCAAAAAGCAAAACACGACAAGGGAGAGTATTCAGAAAAACTGTATTAATAAAAATGTTAAATAATAAGGGGGATAAATGCTCACCTTGGGGAACCCCGGATGTTACTCTGAACATTTTGGATATGACTCAAAATAAATCGACAAATTGCCATCAATGGGTTAAGTGTAGAACCAGGATAAGAGGGGTTCTCCAATACCTAATTTATCAAGAATGTAACTAAGGTTGCAATGATCAACCTAGTCAAATGCCTTAGAAAAGTCAGTAAAAATAGTGTCAACTTGGGTTGATTCATTAAAAGCATCACGAACAAATGAAGAGAAAACTAATGAGCTGGTTATAGTGGAGCGACCGGGCAAAAAGCCATGTTGGTCAATAGATAGTGTAGGTAATAGAATTCTTTCAATTCTTTTAAGATCCAATTGTTCAAATATCTTCCCAATAAAAGGGAGGTTAGATACGGGTCTGTAGTTAGTGACTAGTAAGGGTTGCCAGACTTTAATATAGGAGTTATTCTACTAGTTTTCCAAACAGATGAAAATTTACTTTCCATTAATGATTTATTGAAAATGGAACAAATAGGAGAGCAAAGAATCTTCCTACAATTATAGAGAAAGAAGGAAGAGATACAGTCTGGTCCTAAGCCACGGACTTAAATAAGAAGTCCAATGTTTCAGCTACTTTGTCATTCGAGAAGTATAATTGTGATGGTAAAAAAGGGAACTCATCGATTTTCATGTCATTAATGGCAGTGTTGGGGAATGTCGAGGGACTTTTATAAACAGAGAAAAAGAAGAGGCGAATAAATCAGCAATTTGCGGACC